GGCCTGTTGTTGCGGCAACGGCTGGTAGTCGCCCATGCGGCCGTCATAGGTGGCTCGGGGCTGCCTGACGGTGCGGGCAGCGGAGGGGGCAGGGAGGGGCTGGGAGGCCCGGGCGCCGGCCTGGGGGTAGTTGGAGCGCACCAGAGGGGCTGAGACGTCGGAATTCTCAACCTGATTGGTGTTCAGGGCACAGATGGGTATGGTTTGAGTGGTGTGAGTGGTGTGATTTGATGTGATGTGTGCTGACCCTTGGTGGCAGCTGGTGGCTCCTTCGTGGCCAGAAGAAGAATAGCATCAGCAGAGAGGGCACCCACTCGGACGTCATGTAGATCTGACCGACACACCAACACACGCACCACACACATGAGGGTGAATAGCGATGGGTCATTCACTGTGTGCTGGTGGTCTGCTGTGTGTGAGTCTGTGTGTCTGTGTGCTCACAATGGCGTCCCATATGAACCGCGAGATGCCCTGGGGGTAGTACTTGCTGATGAAGCCGAACGAGAAGGCCAGGCAGTAGAAGCCCCGCAGGGAGAAGATTATCGGACACGCCACACTCAGCGCCATCACCTACACCGACGCATCAACGTGAACACAGACACATCCTTGCGTGTGTCGCGCGTCTGTGTGCCCTGTGTGAGAGGTCACTGACCCTCCTTATGATGAAGTTCTTGCGGTGCAGCTGCCGGCTCCTATCAGACAGCTGCCCGGACACCTGAATGCAAGCACCCAGACAGACAGAAAAAGGCCATGGTGCCACGCCACCCACACACACAATCCTCCCTCCCTCCCTCCGTGAGTAACAGACAGACTGACCTTCATTCCGTAGACGAAGAATCCGACCGACACGGCGAGATAGATGACGCCGATGAGGAATATGCTGTAGGTGCGATACTCCTCATACGCGTGCAGCAGCAGCGTCAGCACCGTGATGACGGCATAGATGCAGTAGACGGCGATGTTGACAAATATGAAGGTCGGCCGCAGGAGGGGTGTGGAGACGAGGGTGGCCGCCTGGTAGACCTGCGCCCAGAAGTAGATGAGCACCGAGTAGGTCGAGAGGAAGATCAGCGAGGGCAGGGAGCGGAACAGGTAGGTGAACCACGTCATCAGCGACGCCTGCGAGATGCTGCTCATCAACACCAGCTGAAGACCCAGCGAAAAGGCACGAACTGCACAGAGAGACAAAGAACACACCCACAGAGAGAGAGAGAGAGTGGGTGTGTAAACCGGTGTGTGTGTGGGCGGCTCGGGCGGTCAAGTGAGGAGGTGAGATTTTCTCGACGGTATCTTGGTTTGTAGTTCGCCCCAACAATGATATCCAAGTCTAACATTCTGTCTATCAGGTCTCTGTCGGTCTGCAGACACTCGACAAGGGTAACCCTACAGTCAGAAACGTGAAAATCGCGCCAGCGTCGGTGCTCTGTGTGTGGGGCTGCTGCTGACCTCTCCTTTGGCACCTGTGTTGCCCATGAGCTGATGCACCTGCCCCATGTGATGGATGGACCGGGCCGCACCCACAGAGCCAAACACGGGCCTGCGGAGATGGACAAAAATGGGAGAGGCATTCAAGGAGTCAGAGATAAGTTCCGCTGTCTGTGCATCAACCGGCACAATACAAAGCCGTCATCGAGAGCAATCCTCTGACTGACACCCAAACGACCCTCGGCAACACGCCCATCTCTGACGCACATAACACAACACAGACACAAAGGCGCATCAGCGGCAGAGATTTGAGCGAAGAGAGCTCTCCTGACTGCGTGTATGGCCTTCCTGTGAGCCTCTCTGCGGAGATCTGATCTGCCAAAGCGGTCTGTGCGGTCTGTGCCTTTCCACTCAGCACGTCTGAGCTCGCAGGGCTTGAAACCCCACACCCTAAGCCCTATACCTAAACCCTAATTATCCTATGTAGGGTTTGCGAATTTCGTGAATGCGCGTGTGCAGGAGTGCGCAGCAGACAGGCAGGCACCTTGCCACACACGGAGGTGCGCAGGGGTGGGCTGTGTGTGCAGAGAGGGAGGGAGGGAGGGGGCGTGCACTGCGCATGTGCCCCTCTCTCTCTCACTCTCACTCTCTCTCTCTCTGTGTGTGAGTCGATGTGTGTGTGTTCATGCCTGCCCATTCACTGCAATGCTTTGACAGAGATACGGATAGCGCACAAAACGACCGGCTGGCTACACACGTCTGTCCGCTGATCACCGAAAAACCACAGACACGAGGACTGACTCGGACTCGCACATACGCACCATTTCTGTCTGTCTGCTGTCCGCAAGCCCTGGGCGATGGAATCGCCCTGCGGTTGCGTCGCGTGCAAGGAGCCAAATCCTCCCACATCTGTCTGCAGCGTACATATAGCAAATGGTGTATATCGTCACAGACAGCATCACAAGCAGCCTAGAAAAAGGCGGCTCGTGGTGCATCCATCGACGGCGGTCACTGGCTGTCACGCCCCACTCTTAATGCGAGGAGGGTCGTGAATATATACACCTCTCTTCTCGCCCCACTCACTGACTGAAGCGCTACCCACCCGCTGTCCATCCGTCGGTCCATCACCGATGGCCTTTGGGCTTGGGCGTTTCACCGTCGTCAGCAGCAGGCCTCAGTGCAGCCTCGGCAGGCACTACATGGGTGCCCCCATCCTTAGCACGGT